CAGACAGACAGACACACACAGATACACACAGACACACAGACCCACACACAGACACAAACACAGACACACAGACACAGAGACACACACCCACACAGACACACACCCACACACAGAGACACACACATACAGAGAGACACACACACACACAGACACACACAGAGACAGAGACACACACACAGACACACACACAGACACACACAGAGACACACACACACACAGAGACACATACACACACAGAGACACATACACACACAGAGACACATACACACAGAGAGACACACACACACACACACAGACACACACAGAGACACACACACACAGACACATACACAGAGACACACACACAGACACAGAGACACACACACAGACACAGAGACACACACACAGACACACACAGACACACACACACACAGACACACACACACACAGACACACACACACAGCCCTCAGGGTCACTCTGCGCTGCACTCAGACGCTTATGGTCCAACCGCAGCTGCTGCTGTGGGAGAGCTCAGAGCTGATGTTGGGGCTGTCGCTGCTGCACTGAGCACAGCACAGGGAGGAGGAGCCGCTGTTCACTTGTGAGCTGTTGGCACCGGTGGACAGACACCACATCGATGGTGTGAGTTTTCACTCGTCTCCTCTGCCCTTTGCTGCCTCTGGGCCCGAGCATCAGGTGAGTGATGGGCATCAGATGAGTGATGGGCATCAGGTGAGTGATGGGCATCAGGTGAGTGATGGGCATCAGGTGAGTGATGGGCATCAGATGAGTGATGGGCATCAGGTGAGTGATGGGCATCAGGTGAGTGATGGGCATCAGGTGAGTGATGGGCATCAGGTGAGTGATGGGCATCAGGTGAGTGATGGGCATCAGGTGAGTGATGGGCATCAGGTGAGTGATGGGCATCAGATGAGTGATGGGCATCAGGTGAGTGATGGGCATCAGGTGAGTGATGGGCAGAAGCTGATAACGGTACAGGAGGAACTCGTCATCTTTCGGTTATTCCGACTCCTGTTCCGGGGATTCCCATCGTTAAAGGGTTAAAGGTAGGAAAGTCCCTGTGAATGTGAAACGCAATGTGCACTCTTCCCCCCAGAGGAGCAATCGCTGTTTATACAATCCCACAAAGTACAGGGCAGGTTTGCAGCTCAGCAAGAGCTGAGGTTGGAGGGGGGTGGACCTCAGAGTGAGTGATGTGGGAGTGATGCTGGAGAGTAACCAACTCAAACCCCACATCTTGGTGTTGCGAACAGAGGGGCTCAGTCTTTGCAAAGTGCTCCGAGATGTTCCGCATTGTGAAAGGCTTCCTGTTGTGTCAGCCTGGCTCAGTTGTGTTGACTCAAATCATCACAATATTTTAAGTATTCAAACACTGAAACAGGATGTTCGTTTAAGAAACCTTTATGGTGCAATGTGCGCGATCATGATGCAAACTGGAGAAGCAAGGATTGTTGTTCTCAGAGCAGAGACGGTTAAGGAATGGTTTAACAGATGTGTTCAATATTTTACGGGGTTTTCGATAGACTAAATAAGGAGAAACTGCGTCTTATTGAGTCTTTGAGATGTTTCGAAGTGCTTCACAGAATATATTATAAAATTAATTGACTGTTTGTTTTGGGGGTAAATAAGGAGAAACTCATTGATGAGTGGGTCAGTAATCAGATTTAAGATAATTGCCAAAAGAAACAGAGGGAAGATGAGGAGAATTTTTTTGTGCAGCAAGTGTTACGATTTGGCATGAACTATCTGACAAGGGTGGTGGAACCAGATTCAATAATAACTTTCAAAATGGAATTGGATATATAATTCAAAATAAAAAAAATTGCAAGCCTATGGAGAAAGAGCAGGGGAATGGGACTAATTGAATAGCTCTTTCAAAGAGCCATCTCAGACATGATGGGCTGAATGGCCTCCTTCTATGCTGAAGGATTCAAAGGGGTTAGAACGTGGAAATCCATTGCTCTATCTGTTCGCCAATTAGCGGAGCAATTCCTTCTTTGCCAATGTTGGGCAATGCTGCCAATGGCACCTAACTGACCTTGTCCGAACTCCTTTACTGTCTCCACTCATCCGGGTCTAGGAGTTTAGCCTTTGGTGGTGTGATTTTCTAAAGCGAGAAGAACTTCCTCCAGTAAAATATATGAGCTGCCATCCTTCGACTCAGGCATTAAACTGAGATCCTCTCTGCTTGTTCAGAGGATGTTAAATAATAATAATCCTTGCATTTGATACAGTGTCTTATCAAGTCTTTGAGATGTTTCAAAGTACTTCACAGAATATATTATAAAATGAATTGACTGCATGTTTTTGGGTGAAACGTGGAAACCAATTGCATACAGCAGTGTCCCACAAACAGCGTGACCAACTTATTTTTTTTTTAAGGGATTATTACCACCAGAAAAGCAATCCGACAATTGACTAACAAATGAATTCCTACATACTTCTAAGTAACCAGAGCAATGTGGAGTAAAGAAACTTGCCTAATATTTCACCCCACCTGGAAATCGAACCTCACTTGCAAGGCGAGTGCTCTAACCAATACGTTAAAGGATCCAAGAACTAAGATCCAATAGGGTCTTGGACTCCAAGAGTTAAAGATCTCATGACACGATTTAGGATTTTCTCCTGGTGTCCTAGCCAACAACTCCCTCCAAAAAACATCATTGCTGTTTGTAGCACATTGTTGTGTGCAAATTGGCTGCTGCGACCACCTACAAGATACAGTCTTTACAGTAAGCTATGTGAAGCGTTTTGAGATGTCTTCCTCATGTGAAAGGCACAATATCAAATGCAAGGATTATTATTACTTCAGGATTGTTTGTCTAATGGAATTTCTGCCATATGGAACGGGTACCCAAGCTGGTGGGGAGTTGGCTAAAAGCGCAGCTAAAGAGATTTTAGATTGGTTTTGAAGCTGTGAGCAGGGGTTTGATGCCGAGGGAGAAACAATTAATAATAATCCTTGCATTTGATATAGTGCCTTACCGTGCCTTCGAGATGTCTAAAGGCACTTCACAGAATATACTGTGAATTGACTGCATTTTTTTTTTGGCCAACGTTTCGCCCTGCCTGGGAATCGAACTCAGGTCCTCTTGCTTGCTCGGCGAGCGCTTTAACTGTTAATCTGCAGGACTCCACAAAATCCTAGAAAGTGTAAAAAAAAGTGTCTGAAAGCTCACCAGCCTATGGTGAATCAGAGAACATGAAGCAGGCCTCAGTTAATAATAATAATAATAATAATCCTTGCATTTGATATAGCGCTTTTCACGTCGGGAGGACGTCCCAAAGCGCTTCACAGAACACACTGTAAGTGAATTGATGGTATATTTGTGGGCGAACGCGGTAGCCAATTGCACACAGCAATGTCCCACAAACAGTCGTAGATTTAAAATGACCAATTTATTATTGTTTTTTTTTTGGAGGGATTATTATTGGCAGTTGGCAGAAGGGAGGGATAGGGCAGTGGAGTAGAGCTGCAGGAAATCACAGACCACCTACAGAAAGTGCTTGGAGACAATCTCTTACGTGAGTGGCACTTATACAAGTGAAAGAGGTCCTATCTGACTGTTCAGGTGGACGTAAAAGATCCTATTGCACTATTCGCAAAGAGAAAGCAGTTTCTCCTGGTGTCATGGACAACAATCCCCCAAATAATATTGGTCATTTTCTTCATGGCTTTTTGTGAGACATTGCTGTATGCAACTGGCTGCAGGGTATCACCACAAAATAAACTGTCAATCCACTTTACAGTACATCCTGTGAGGCGCTTTGAGACAATAAGGTGCTTATATCAAATGCAAGGATTATTATTATAATAAAGAGGTGTTGTGGACTTGTCACAGTTGCAAAGACTCATTTCAACCATGCCAGCTTTTGAAATCTCCCTCAATGGATGCACTCTACACTTCACAAAGCCAATCCGGAACCTCGGCACCCTGTTCGACCCCCACCTGTCTTTCATTCCCCCACATCCGTGCAATGTCCTGCTCCGTCTTTCCCCACCTCCACAAGATTGCCCGGTCTCTCACCGCAGGCCACCGAGAACCTCATCCACGCATTCATCACATACAAGCTCGACTATGCAAACTCCTTGTTTGTCGGCCTCCCCAACTCCTCCCTCCACCCCATGTCCTCTCCCGCACCAGACGCAGCGACCCTATCAGCCCATCCTTGTCTGGCTCC